AATTGACGACGAAGTCAGGTCATGTTGGGAATCGACGGCGAAGTCAGATCGTGAAGAAAGTTGACAGCGAAGTCAGGTCATTGGGAGTTGACGGCGAAGTCAGATTATGGAAGGGTGACGGCGAAATCAGGTGTCCTACCAATTTGATGTTAAGGACTGACAGCGAAGTCAGGTGTTTTGCCAAGTTTTATGTGGAGAATTGATGGCGAAGTCAGATCATGTAGAGGGTTGACGGCGACGTCAGAATGGTTTGAGATATAACGGCGAAGTCAGATGATTTTAATTGACGACGAAGTCAGATTATGTTGTAAGTTGATGGAGAAGTCAGAGGATATGGAGGACTGACGGCGAGATCAGATGTTCTACCAATCAGATGTTTTTACAGATTATGTTGAATATTGACGGTGAGGTCATATCTCACAGATTTGATGTTGAGTTCCGACGGCGAAGTTAGAATGCTATTAAGAGCTGACGGCAAGGTCAGGTGTTTGTGTTTGATCGATGACTGATGGCGAGATCAGATGTTCTACCTGATATAGGTGCCTGACGGCGATGTCAGAGGTTTCATTCTGCGGTTGACAAATTTTTGGGTTCTTTTTTATTCAATCACCTTTTACCTCGAATGTTTGAAAGCGTTTGCTTTTCATCCCTTCAGGTCCAAGTCGTTTGAATAGGGGCAGCTGTTGCACCCCAAAATTTGCCCTCTTTCAAGGATTGACTCATTTCTTCAAATTCAATGACATAAGGGAAGCCCATCATTCCAAATTCAAGATTTATGAATTCAAGGCTAGATTTAAGAATATTACAAAGAAAATTTCATGACATTTGCAAGAATGTCACACTTGTTACAAAATCCAAACTCTTGGTAATACTTGGGAAATTAAGTTATTTCTAGTCTTAATTCAAGTTTCCAAAAATAACTTCATGTCATGGTATCCCCCCATGCTCCATCAAGTCCACATGACTTTGTGCTTACAAACATGCAAGAAAAATATTTAAGAGCTAATTCAATGTTGGAATATCTCAAGATCAATACCATGCATGTTCAACCATGAGCAATATGAATGCAATCCAAAACAGCCCCATGCAAGAAGTGGCAATGTGTATCATATTACAAAATCATTTTATGTTGATACATCTACACATCAAAAATCAGAATTTGAAAATTCTGTTCAAAAGGTAGTGGTGTTAGTTACATGAATATATCCAAGCATAACCAACCAATGGACACAAGGATCGATAGCAAGGTGGAGTGTTGCAGAAAAAATACAGCAAAAGCAGCAAACTAGAAGTGGAAAAAGTGGGGCTGCACCAAGAAAGTGGCCATAATTGTTGCCAATAATGGAAATTCTGAAAATTGAAGCTTGTGCAAGAGCCATTGGTTTGGTACAGCAGAAAAAGCAGCAGAAAAAGTGAGATGAGAGGGGAAAGGGGCTGTCAACAAAAGGAAGGAGCTGCAAACAAATCTATGATTCACTATCATTCACATACATAAGATTGAGAGAGTAAGAGAGAAGAGAAAAACAGAAAATAGTGCGAGCAACACACATTGCAAAGAAAACCAGAAAAATAGTAAGAGAGAAAACCAAAAAAAGAGTTCCCTAGAAAGACAAGGAACCTTTGAAGATCAAAACTTTCACCATATAGAGTGAAGAGGGGGAGCACAGCCAACCAAAACCAGTGGAGTATTCGCGAGAAGGATAAAAGCTCTTGGGGTATCCATTTCTTTAAACTTTTTCTTCTTTATATCTTGCATTTGTCTTTTATTTTTATGTTGTTGTACTAAGTATACCATATAAGATTCTAAGGGGACCAAAAAAACCATTTTTAAAGAACCAATAAAAGGGAAGAAAATCACAAAAGACAGCAAAAAATACAGCAAATATTGTATTTTTCGCTTCAGGTCGCGGCGCGAACTGTCAAAAACAGAATCAAAAATTTTCTCAGTTCGCGGCGCGAAATGATCAGTTTGCTTATTTTATTTTCTTGTTGTTCTTACCCTAAAAAATTTTACACTTTGTGCCGTTTTTTTCGCATGTCTCGATTTTTTTTTGTCGACTAACCCATATGTTTGCATGGTTTTAGTGTAAATATTGCTATTGTCTTTGTTGACTCTTGATTACATAACCATTTTCAAAAAAACAAACTCTCGATTTTATCGAGCCATTTTCGACCATGTAAGTCGGCCGCCTTGTGCGTCCGCCATCGACCTTGTTCGTGTCACCTTAAACCTTTTTTAAGCAATTAAACTCTTGACCCAACGTCAAGCGGATTTTCTCAAACGATTGTTATGCCAATTCACCATATTTAATAAAAGGGTAAAGTTCTCTTTGTATTGAACTAAAGAGAAGGGATTGAGTGTAGACTCCTTCCTTTCTGAGTGTCGAGATGCTCACTGTAGTGTGGGTGATTTTGATACTTGTCTTTCAATACGAAGACGTTTTCATCCACACCTTTTTTCTCCTAAAAAACCTCGGTCCCGTACCGAGCGCATTTTTAAAACTCTTCTCATGACAAAAATTTGAATGGTCGTGGAGTGGTTAGGCGTAGGCCTTCTCCTATCCCGAGTGCTGACGTTTACCGTAGGGTTCTCTGTCGCAAAAGCGCTTACTATTTAAAACCAAAAACACTTTAATAAGAGAATGAAGCTCTCTTTGTATTGAACTAAAGAGAGAGGATTAAGTGTAGACTTCTTCCTCTCCGAGTGTCGAGATGCTCACTGTAGTGTGTGTGGTTTTGATACTCGTCTTTCAATACGAAGACGCTATGTTCGCCACACCCTTTCATAACAAAAAACTTTGAGATGAAGAATTGGGTACTACCCGTAGGGGTTACTATCCGAGGACCTATCTCGCCCCTAAAAAAAACAATTCAACAAATCAAATGTGACATCTTGCCTCGCATGGCGAAAACTTATCTTTCGAAAAGGATATGATATGTCCATTCTACCGCAAACAGGTAATGCATAAGTCTCCAACGAGCGAGCAGCAATACACCTAACTGCTAGAATGCGTACGATAGCATCATCCATAAAAACATCAACGAATCGTAGGCCGAACTACGACTGCTCTGATTCTTTACTTCGTTCAAGTAAAGATACGTAGACACAAGGGTCACAATCCTTGCCGAGCACATTCCCCCTTATATCTGTAGTTCCCCGAACTACGTCGACTCTGATTTTCTCATGTCTATCGAGAATACGTAGGCCTAGGACCGCGAAGTCCTACCGAGTCTTTTCTTTCTTTTCTTCCCCGTTATCCCTCCTTCTCTCTCCCTAGGAACACACTTTTATAACATAATCTTTTAGCAAATAAATTCACACATTCGACAAGCAAATGGTTCTCATCGAGTACGATGGATGCGAGGGGTGTGTAATACATTCCCCTTGCATAACCGGCTTCCGAACCCGTTCTTGGTCGCGAGACCATCTTATCCATTTCTGTTCTTAAGGTTTTCTCGATATTTTCCTTTCCCCTCATGGGATAAATAAAGTTCGGTGGCGACTCTTCTGTCCTTTCCTTTCCGCCTTCCCCGTCGTTGCGCACATTTTTCGAGTAGCGACACACTTTTATCTGATAAGTCATAGTTGTGAAATCCACATACAACAATCTTCCATCATGAACATTCTTTATATGACGTTGACCTAATTTTGAATGGAAACCACATTTTTAGCGGCCCTACTTATTGCACTATCCACTTTTTTTTTACATGCCACATTTATCACAATTAAATATTACTTTGTTGTATTTCCCTCTCTTTCTTATTTCAATATCTAATGTGGTTAAAAATGTGTTAGTGCTATTACATTATGTGGTTAAAAATATACCAGTGCTATTACACATGTGCTTTTTATCATATAGTAGAAGGATATCAATATCAATAAAATATAATTTTATTTTTACTTATAAATGAGTAATTTGATGAACAATATTCCAAGCTATTCGGTGAAAACACCTACCGCTGGATAACTAAAATGCAAGTTTTTTTGTTATCTATATATACCGCAAAACTTGATTGAAAATAATCCGATTAAAAAAAAACTTCCTAGACCGATGGATATTTTTGAAAAATTGTAAGGATGAATGTAAGGGTAAAATTTTCTATATTACAAGCATAAACCATTACAAAAGGGAGTATATTTTACATTACTAGAAATTGTCTACTCAATGGCAAAATAGAAATGTTAACATATTAAATGCATATTACATAGTAGTCTAATAAGCTATTATTGTATGTAAATACGACTGTTCCTTATTATAATCATAAAAAACGGCAAAGTCGAAATAACAACATTATACACTATCAGTACAGAAGATAGGTTCGATTTTGGCCCCTCACTGGTTGTACAGCAGCTGTAGTTTCACAGATTTAAAATCAATTTTGTTAACACTATATTCTTAAATTCTACTTTTTTGATGGGAAAAACCTTATAATCTACTTTTTTGATGGGGAAAATCTTATAATCTACTTGAATATACTACAATATTGATGTTTAGTTAATGTAATGGTTCTGCATATTATTGTGACTTTCTACTACTCATACTGTGGCAAATTTTTTCTTCTAGAATAAGCTATGATAGTTTATAGGAGTGCCAAGATTACATCAGAAAAAACACATACTTGTGTACTCAAAGACACAAACAGAACACTAGTTTGGATAGTAACAAAGCTAAATTTAATTGGTTAAAATATGACAGAGCAGAAGCAGCCCCAAAAAACTGTTTGGCTTAAGTAAAATCAGCAGGGTTGCTATCAGTAATCTGTAACAATATTAAGACCCTGAAATTTAATCTTAACCACCATGACTCGACAATGGTTTTCTTGTCCAGACGCCGAATCCAACAGTGCTGCATGTAAGGAAAGAAACACTTCTTATCTCTAGCAACACGAAACAGCCATTAGAGGAAAAATGGGTGCAAACTTAAAACTTCAACAATTACTTTGCAATGAATGTCCCATTACGGGACGTATATGGTTCAGCTCAAAGAACCGACACATCTTCAATTTACAAATGGCACCCCAGACACAACTTGTTGGGCATATTCAACATACTGCATTCCAAAAAACTGTCTCAAAAAGTATTCCTCATACGGTATCCTAGTATTGAAAAACTTCCAGACAACAACTGCAAATCCAATAGTTGATAAAGGATTACAGAGCATTATTTGAGTGCTAATAGACCAGATGAAGAAACCACAGTACCCTGGATGGCGAATAAATTTATAAATACCATGTGTAACCAAATGGTGACGTTCATCCGGACGAACCCTAATCATATGAGTAAACGATTGCCCTGCTGTTATTATTGCCAGTTTCCTTATAGTTTCCCCTATAACAACCAGCACTAACCCTAAATCACTGACAACCCAATATTCCTTTAGCTCTGGAAAGAAAGTAACCTCGACTAAATATTCTAGCAATGAAAATATCATTGCTAAAAGATAGTCTTTGCTAATCAAAAGGGACTTCAGAGTTACACTCGATTTCCCATGAATGAAGGCAGCTAGAAAATATTCTGAAACGTGAAAGAAGATAACTGCAATGAACATTTGAGATAATTGTCTGCAAGCAGTGTAGCTAAGGATTTCTTCCATTTTTGCCAAATAATGACGGTAAACCTCTCTTGTTTTAAGCCACAGAAAGACTTGGTTGCTTAAATCATCTAAGATATAAGCCAGACCTGAAAAAGATGTGAAATTAATACTCAGAAGTCCTATATAACACTTCAAATTGAATGTGTATGTATCAGGTGTTAGCCATTAACATTGCCATGGTTTTAAATTGTGGTGCGGCCACAATATTGCTGATGCGATAGTCTCCGCAACTGCATCGGACCGCAATTGCAGTGTGTTTTGAAATCAAGCATCCTTCCACGTTATTAACCGCATCCAAAAACTCCGTGTTTCTCCATGTATTTTCGTCACAAATTTAGAACCCCAAAATTTAATTTACTTCCAAAAATCTTAATATTAAGTGTTTTTAACGGTGTATTACACACTCTTCTCAATCAAAATTCACGCCGCAATGGCCGCACTACGCATCACAGCAACAGCAATGACCACAATCGCAACACCCCACCGCCGCAATGCACATTGCAGCAACCACATTGACAATGAACGCAATTTAAAACCATGAACACCAGTATTCAATGACTTCCAATATCTCAAACTACTACTCGTGTCGACGTGTCAATGTCAGTGTTGTGTCGTATCGTATCTAGATAATGTCTGACACTTACATTCTATTACATCACTTTCCTCAAATTATTACCCGTGCAAACGTGTCTGTGGCTGTGATGGTGTATCTGCTTCATAGATTGTGTAACCAAAAAAATGCTTCAATTAAAACATGAGCAAATTATAGATAATCAAAAGTTCTAAAATGCATGCACAGTTTTAGTTTCTACAAAATGTTATAAATATTAAAACGGTTTTTGATTCCGTGAAAGGCATTGGATCAGCGGTTGAACCAATGTTATCGATTACGCTGGGATTCTATGGTGCGGTGCCTTTTGCAAGGACGCAAGTCGTGGTGGAATTGCATCCTCGCGCGCTACGTTAAAGATGAAAGAGGAACGAAAATTGGATCTAAGTTACAAAGAAAGAAAGAAAAGAAAACCTGAACCGACTTTCTCACTGTTTTTGGCAGGTGACGAATCAACTACGATTGCGTTTTCCGGCAAGTTCAATACGATCCCAAATTGGTTGGTTTAGGGTTTTCTTTCTTCAATAAACGCTGAATTAGTTTTTTCATATTATCCCCACACAATTGTAGCTCTTATGATATTACAATTTTTTTAATTTTTTTTTTTTTTAGGTTTAACACCTATTTTAGGCTCTTAACTTTAATTAATGTTTTTGTTTGAGGTCTTAAAAAAAACGTTTAGTTATATTATAGTTTTCTAACTTATATTCGGTTATATATTTTAGTTATTTTTATTAGTTTTTGTTGAAAAACTGTTAAAATATATCTTGCTGAACTTTAAATGGTTTTTGGTGGAATTCATATATTTATTTTAATGGCTGAGGTGGAATTTATATTACAAATAAGTGTCATTTGAAGAAGATGAAAGGTATTAAGGCATATTGACATTCTTGGATGAAAGTTCAGCTTGAGAGAGGAAACAACAAAGACGTTGTGCACGCAAGCAGGTTCCATTGAAGACGACGATAGCGACATTGTTGACAACCCTCAATTGAAGACGAACTTCATTCATCAATTGTTTGCAGAAGAAATCCTAAGGTACAAACTTGCAATAGTAAGTTACTAAAAACTTAACTTCCTTATTTACCCAACTTACTTAGTACTTCTGATGCTATATGTAGGTTGGTTAGGTCATGGAGAGTAAGTTTAAATGTGTTGTTCATCATTCTGGTGAATTTTCTAGGGAGTTTGCCAATTTTACCAAATCACGTTATGTAGGGTTAGAGGAAATTTGGGATGTTAATCTCAATTATTTGAATTACTTTGAAATATTGGACAAGTTAAAAGAGTTAGGTTACCCTACTATAGATAGACTTTGGTATTATGATAACACATATGCTAATGATATAATTATGTTAGAAAGTGATAAAGGGATTGATAGGATGAGAACAATTTCAGTGGTAACTAGGGAATGCCATTTGTATGTTAAACATCCTGTATCTGAACTTGGTGTTATTGAGGAACCTATACTCTCAATACTAGATGAAAAAACATTGGGTGAAGATGTGGTTGGTGAAGGGCCTGAAATGGTAAATAATCAAGATGGGACCACAATGGTTCAAGATGTAGTTGATGAAGTACTTGAAATGGAAGTAATGAAGGTGGAACCACAATTGGTGAAGATGTGGTGGAAGATGGGACAACAATTGAGGAATTTGAGGAGAATGTTGGAATTGAGGAAAATGAGGAGAATGTGGGGACCAACTGTGAAATTGAGGAGAATGCAGGTCAAAAGGAGACAAACTGTAACAATATGGATGATGTGGGGACCAACAGTGTTAGTGAGGATAATGTGGGTTAAGGGATGAATGTTGAAGTAGTGGGAATTAATGAAGGACTGAATTGTAACCAATAAGAAGATGAGGTAATTAACTGTAACCAAGGAGATGTGGCAGAAGATGGAAGTGAAGAGAGTGCTTTGAATGTCAATTTTGAAGACTTAGAAAATGATATAGGTATTGATGGATAACAATTTATGATGATGAAGTGAATACAACAAGTAAGGGGAAAGAAAAAAGTAAGGCAAAAGGCGAGGGGAAAGGTACGGGAAAGGGAAAGGGGAAAGGTAAGGGGAAGAAAGAGTAAGGAAAAAGGTAAGGCAAAAGGCAAGGGGAAAGGGAAGAAAATGTCATTGTTATGAATGAAGGTGTTGATAATGATGATGAGGTCAATCTAGAAAATTTGAGAGGTTTAAGTGACATTGAGGAGTATGACAGTGATAAATTGCCTAATGAGTATGACAATGAGAATGATGAGGTTGTAAAGGATGATTTTGTAACATTTAAGCTTCCAAAAAGAATGGAAGACTATAAATGGGAATTTGGTACAATTTTTCTACAAAGGGTGTATTTTAAGAGGCAATAATAACATATGCTATACATTCAGGGAGGAACCTGAAATTTTCAAAAAATGATAAGGCAAGGATGAGAGCAAAATGCAAGGTAGGTTGTCCATTAGAGGCTTATTGTGCAAATATAAAAGGTGAAGAGACTTGGTAATTGAGGACAAATATGGACAAGCATACATGTAGTAGGGTTTATAAGATTAGGTTCCTAAATTCAAAATGATTGGCAAAGAAGATTCAAATAAGTGTTAGAGAGAATCCAACTTTGAAGTTGACTGATATTATGGAGAAGACACGTGAAAAGTGGAATGTTGGGATTAACAAGATATTGGCATATAGAGAAAAGACACTAGTTGTTGATATTGTGGATGGTTCTTTTAGAGAGCATTATAGAAGAATCCATGATTATAGCCATGAACTCTCAAGGACAAACCCAGGATCAACTATCAAGATTACAATTCAACCAGTTCAAAGGAAGAGCAGTGAAAAGTCTGGTTAAATGAATCCTCACTTTCAGAGGATGGATGTATGTCTCAAAGCTTGCAAGGACAATTTTTTAATTATAGACCTATTATAGGATTAGATGGTTTTTCCTAAAGGGATACTATGGTGGACAAATACTAGCTGCTATAGGGAGGGACCCAAATGAACAAATGCTACCAGTTGCATATGTTGTTGTTGAGGGTGAAACTAAAGACTCGTGGAGTTGGTTTTTAGAATTATTGCTACCTGATTTGGAAGAAGTCATATTGTGCAAAATCTATATCTTCATTAGTGATCAACAAAAGATTAACTCTCACCTTGAATTTTACCGGTTAGCCAATTGTTTAAATATCACCATCAATTTTACTTAATTTTTAATGCAGGGTTTATTGCCAGCTTTTGATGATTTACTTAGTAATGTTGATTAGAGATTCCGTGTTAGGTATTTTGTTTAATTAAATGTTGCATATGATTTACTTGGTTATATTTGCATTGCATGATTTTAGATATTCTGTTTACATACATTGTGCATTGCAGACATTTATATAGCAACTTCAAAAAGACGTTCCCTGACCTAAAATTGAAGGAATTGATGTGGAGGGTTGCATGTGCAAGTTATGTAAATGCTTAGGAGAAAATAATGCTTGAAATCAAGGGAGTTAATGAAGAGGCCTTTAAAGTTCTCATCAAAATTCCACCAAGATTCTGGAGCAAATAAATGTCTTGCAAGAAGGATCAACATTTAGAGATTGATTACTTTGTACTTGACTGTTACAAGAAGGAATAATATTCAGCTTGCTATGCACCTGTTATTTATCCACTTAATGGGGAAGTCTTGTGGGCAAAACTAGTTTTGTTGATCTTTATTCACCACCAATAAAGAGGCAGTCTGAAAGGCCAAAGAAAAAAGGAATAGGGAAGCTGGAAAAATGGTGATGGATGAGACACACATGAAAAAGGGCAAAACATGGTATCAAGTGTAGTCGTTGCCACAAGGATGGTCGCAACAAGGCCACTTATAAACTACCACAACCACAAGATCCTACAAGCCAGGTACAACAAGGAATAAATGGGATACCACCAACAAATGTTTCAATTCAGGTACAAGAAGCAACAACTCAGCCATCACCACTAGTTGTTACAAGTCATCCACCACCACCTATTGTTACAAGTTAGCCACCACCCAAAACTATAAAAAAAACTTCATAAGGGTGGCAAGCCTATTTCAAGTCAACCTTGATCTTTGTTATGATGTCCGGTTACATTTTGTAATGTCATTTTGTTATGCCTTTTAATGGCCTATCTGTTTTGTTTTTGTAAGGCACATTTTGGAATGTCATTTTGTAAGGCACATATTGGATTATTTACAATGGCCAATCTATTTTGTATTTGTACCACATTTTGGAGTGTTATACTAATGCCTTATAATGACCTTTTGTTATTGAACCAGTTATCTATCAAACTTCGGATCTGTTAATGAAAGTTGAAATGACTTATAATGCCAAATTATATTACTGTATGGTTTCCATGAAGTCTCTTAATTTTATAATTTGTTGCAAATTG